TTACTTTATTTAACTCTGTAAGACTGTAAGTTATATGAAATATCAATGGTCTATAGGTTAAGAGACCGACAGGTCCTGGGTTCGAATCTCGCGGGGCGGGATCGTGGATGTTCACTGCTGAGGGGTCCCATACTAGGACGAAACGGCTATACAGTGCTTCCAGGTTTTTCATAATGGTCTAGCTTCAATTGACCCATGAGTTCAATCATTGAAATTACTATGATATCCACAAAAATCTCTTCTGATACTAATCTATTATTAATCAGTTTGATGGTTTACAGAAATCATTTCGTTTTTAGAAATTATTTTTCATAAGTAGAGATTAGTTAAATGACAACTAAAAACATGAACGTAGTAGACAACAGTTCAATTCTATTTCATGTTTATACTGATAACTACATAGAATAAGATTGAATCAACAATCATTAAGTCCTATATTAAGTTAAAATTGTTAGGCCAATAGCTAAACACTACAATGTCATTCAATTCACGATATATCTCGATGATTAAGCAATGGTAGAAATGATAACTGATATATACTTATCCGGTCAAATATTCATTTTAAATCATACACTAGATGTATAATTCGAAATGTGATCAAATAATTTTAATGAACTATTGATTTTATCTAGAAAATTGAGAGCGCTAACAGAACAGTAACAAGAAGTTTAAACCTAAACAAAATGATAGTTATCGGTCCCAACTATACATACAGTCTAAGTGTATAGAAAGTTTATATTGTTGACAAAAGGGTTTTGTGTAGATAGTTTCTTAATTTCCAGATACTATTCGTCACAGATTGTTATAACTTGTGGCCTGTGTACCCTGTTAATGTATAACTTGATGATACCACCAATTAGAGAGCAGTGAATTATCGACCGGACCAATGACGCATAAAACCTGTACGAGCAGTCTACAGTACTTATCGGTCCTGCATCCTGCCTAGCCTTGCCCGTTAAGTCCAGCATATCAATCTCAGCTTCTGCGATATCAACCATTTATTCCAAACATACTGGGTTTATATACCAACCAAACAGACCACACTGTACCATGAAGTAGGGAAATAACATTTGTACAAGATTTAGTGAAATGTGGCCGTGAATGAGGGAGATAGCAATTGATCGACAAGGCATAACTCAAGAATGGTAAACCGTATAATATTAACTCATAGGTCAAAATAAAGCTCATAATAAGAGGAACATGAAAATGAATAGTCTAATTAGATAACAATTATACGATAAAAATATACGTATTGTAATAGTCCAGAAATAAATCCCAACAGTTATTCAATCACCTCGATAACCATTATAATATCAATCTCACTGTTGATTAAAATCAGAAGGCAATGAGAAGCGGCAACTACAGTTTATTAACAGATAGCGCTGATTACAAAGCTATGAACACATCGAACGTGTTTGAAGCGGAGAGGCGAATAAGTATGTATGAGCAGCTACATAGGCAAATTTGTAGTCAAATTGTATAAGGGTTCAGCAAGGCAAAGCAAGGACTCATAATAAGATTTGAGTACATATATACATGGGAAGAAGAACGAAGGAATCAACATTTCAGCTAGAGTCTGTCATATGATCTAGTGATCATAACGGTACAAAGGAATATGCGAATTGTTACTGTTGAAATAACACATTGTCTGTTAAGTTAACAAAAAGAGATTAACCAAAATTAACCACAATCGAAATTGATTGTAGGATAGTTGCTATATGCTTCAGGTGAATGAAATTTATGCAATTATGACTACTTTTCTTAACTGCTTAATTTTTCATAGAGTTTATGATGCTCATACACATACATATGTGTAATTTTAATGTCAGTAAAATTGTAATATTGGACAATGATCCGAAATGATTTAACTAATCGTAATTTCTCACAAGGAATTTATCTGGAGATCAGTTACTAGCGAACATGTCATTATTGTTTGTTTGACTGATTTTGGTAACTGGATTACATTTTTAAATAATAAACATTCTATTCATCTTTGTATTCAATCATACACCGTAATAACATTCAGATATAAATTTTCACTTTATAAGATAGAAAAACACTTTAAGCGAATATGAATGGTGACTAGAAGCACGTTTCATCCTGTGTTGGAACTTGTCAGCTGAATTTACCTGCAGCCCAGGGTTCATATTCCCCCCTGGGACTTGAACCTAATAAAACTCGCTACAAACGCTATCGCGTCCTGTAATGAACATCCAACTGATGAGTCCCAAATAGGACGAAACGTGAGTCTTGGATTCCATTGCTATCCACTATCTATCTTTGCTTATAATACTTATGACTTATGATAATATCAAAACAATCCGCATAAGATGTACATATTCCAATAAGAGATTGATCAATTGCAGTCCTAAATATATCTATGAGAAGATTCAAACAAACAATACAAAATGAAATGCAAAATATTTGTTTATATTTTCTTAAGAGAAATTACTATGACAATAGGAAAAGGATATATATCCTTAAGAGAATGACTTCAATGGCACACCCTATAATAATTTATATATTCTATCATTTAAATAGAAGTTGAAAATACTAAACAATATACCATCTGAAACGTTTTGAATTTCTTAAGTAATTATTCGTTAATAAAATGAATCTTCGGTTTATTTTTTTAAAAAATCAGTTTTAAATATTATAATGAATAGTTTCAGCTTAATGAAATTGAATATAGAACGAGTCAAGTTGAATTTTCTATTGTACACATAAACAATGGTAGATAGTTTATGATTTAGAGATCAGATTCATGATCAAACTAATTAGTTAATTTTTTTATCACAAATCATTGAATATGCTGTGGAAATGGGAGAATTAGAATAATTACGATTACATGCATATCATGGGGGTTTTAAAGAATGTAAACGACTGTGTCAAATCTTATTGCACTGGGTTCGAATCTCGCAAGGTGGGATCGTAGATGCTCACTGTTGAGGAGTCCCATACTAGGACGAAACGGCAGTCCAGTGCTTCCAGGTTTTCCATAGTAGTCTAGCTTCAATTGACTCATGATTTTAACTATTGAAATCTTATTATGTTTGTCAGTTTATGTATAAGTGCTAAAACAATTATACACGGAGGAGAAATCGTGATCTTCAAGTAGGGGTGTTTGAACACATACCTAAATGGTTGCACAAATAAATGAACTCCATTGATCTGATAAAATCACAGAGTAGACAAATATCTTCCTTCATTGAAAAATATTTGGTTGAGATAGGTTGTAGTGTTGATATAAAGTCAACCTTCTTTGTGTTATATAAAATTGTTAAAAGTCGTATACAAAAGCTTATTGAAACCTTGACCTCACAAAAACTGAAATACCCTTTATGTATTCAAAAGCAATTTGTCCTAGCATTCAATCCAGCATGGTAATACGAACTTATTTTCTAGATTGGCTTTCGCATTGTGTACTATATTGTTATCTTTATTTACTTTTATATTCCAGTTTGTTTAGTTGACATTTGATTTTTTTCATATATGACGTCTTAACAAGCATATGGATATGAAGGTTATAAATTTTCATCAACTGAGATGGTTGGGCCACGTGTTACGTATGCTTGAACACCGATTACAACGACTCGTAATGCTGATTAGCGTTGGAGACGGTTGGAAGAAAGTTATGGACAGCCAAACCGAAATGTGGCATCAGTCCTTGAAGTCACTAACTTCTAATCTGAACCATCTTGGTAGATGCAGACTACCGTAACCGGTGTTTAGTGACTTCGGGTGACACGTCTCAGAATCGATCATAATGATGTCGGTGTATATACTCTTTGTCTTCCTTAAAACCGTGGGATTTAAATGGCTTTATATCTTACTTTCTACGAACTAATTCTTTCTTCCTGTACTATATCCTCATACACAATCTTTCTTATATATTTATATTACTACCATTGAAGTGACCACTTCTATGAATTTGGTGTTCACCTTGTTTTGCTAATGAGGTGTTGCAACTTGAAGCGATGCATATTTGTACCTGGTTCTACGTTGCAGCTGATTGACCGAAATGTATTTCACGATTATATTAAATATATCTGATAACCTTCATCTGCTTATTGCATTATCTAAATTTATCAAAGGGATTAGTTGTTTAAGCTTACTATAATGAGAAGTTATTTTACTATAAAATTACAGAATTTACTTATTGTTGGCTCATAATTACAATCTAATTGGGTATAGAACAGTGTATTCATAATTAGGATCCAAGTTTTGTTACATTTTACTCCTACATTATGGTTTCTTTCTTATACATTTTCTTGTTAGAATTATGAAAGAATTTTCCCACGTAAAATTTTTAGTTTTCACTAAGTTTACACTTCTTTTTAATGTTTACGGATTGCAAATAATCAGCAGGAAACTCCACATGACCTAGGATTCGTGCTGTTTGATACTCGCCACACATAACCATAGTTCTGTTAATTTACTATGTAAGTTATATAACTTTCACAAGTTGAAATCATGAGCCAATTGAATCTAGATCACCATGGAAAACCTGGGAGCACTGGACGGCCGTTTCGTCCTAGTATGGGACCCCTCAGCAGTGTGCACCCACGATCCCCCCACGGGATTCGAACCCAGGACCTACTGGCTTCGCGCGCGAGCACTTAACCATTAGACCACTGAGCCGGCATCCGACGGTGTTAATGTCTAACTTCAACCAATCCACGAAGTTGCGCCACCGAATCCCGCGGGGGCTGGTTCGTGGATGCGCACTGCCGAGGAGTCCCATACTAGGACGAAACGGCCGTCCAGTGCTTCCAGGTTTTCCATGGTGGTGTAGCTCCAATTGGCTCATAATTTCAACTTGTGAAATTTCTAAAAATCTCCACAAAACCCATTCTGATAAGTTATATAACGGTTAAGTTCGTGTTAATTTATTCTGTTCGATGATTAAGCTTATCTCCATCGTGTATTTTTATAGGATGAGTCTAAGTTTGTTTTAAAATTCATAGTGCATTTATACCTTTTGCATTTCTTTCATTTAGGGTTATTGATGAAGCACCTCCAGCCTACGAAGATTTTGATAAATATCCTAGATTAAGTAAATATCAGACCTCGTTTAAAAACTTAACTCCTGTTAAACCATGTACACAACAACCTCGACAATCTTCACAGCTTGATTCTGATCAGTTTGTGAACTCATCAACAGTCTCATGGATAGAACCATTTCCGAAACCACAAGGTGATCCACCACCTGCCTTTTACAACTGGCTTCGTAGTCGATTTGGTTCTTTACGTCAAAGCATTATGAGCCGTTTATCAGGTCGAAGTAACCAATTACAAGGCTCTTCGGTTTTCAGCATACATACTGATTCTAATTCTCCAGTTTTATCAACTATCAATATTCCTAGACCTTTCATTCATCCGGAACCATCAAACTCAGTGCCCCCTGCACAATCATCTGACGCAGTAGAACCAAAGCCTTTGGAATTAAATGATTCTAAAATGACACGTTCGTCATCGTCATCATCATCTTTACAATCCAGTGCATCATCAATAGTTTGTGCAACTGATGAACAGACTATGATAGGAGTATCTACCATATCATTAAATTGTAACAGTAATCAAATATCAGATTCTAGTTGTACAAATGTACCTCAGAAAACTTTGATAGTACGTGAATTTGACATAGAAGAAACGGAATCACAAAATGATAGTTACGATGTTGATACTAACGAAATCAATCAGTCTACGACCCATTCATGAATAAAATTTTATTGGTCACAAAATGTAAGTATCAATCAGTTGACGTTTTGGGGAATTTTGAAAATTTACATTTTTTTTTGTTCTAAGAATGGCATTCAATATTTTATGATCTGTGATAATCAGAAGTATTTGAATTATAGTATAAACTAAGAATCCCAGAAATAACGTAGTCGGATCAAGAATTACTAGATAACCACAAACGAATGTACTTTATTTAGAGTTCGAAATCAAGCATTCAACAAGTATAAAGGTATCATTAGTTCATTCAAATACCACATCTGCCACAGCTTATATAGGAGTATAAGTGTTTGTAATCAATTGTACATCTTCTTCTCAAGTTCTTCCTGTGTCTGTCCGACATTGTATTGGATAAAAACTCTATTATCTAGAATGCACTCATTAGTATTAGAATTAACAATCTAAATTGGAACAGACTCACCTGCTTTCTGGGATTGTGTAATCAGCATGTCGGTTGTATACTGAAACCGCTGCTACTTAGAATATGAACCATAGACTTTTAGACTATCCTCCCCCACGAAATAATGTTGGATCTTTATATCCCTAATTTATGAATGATGTGGCTTCATTTAAAACATATTTCTCACATTGGTTAGAGTAAACATTAGAAGTGACCTCGTGGTAAGAATAAACCGCAGTTGATATGAAATCATCCGAATTGTAATCAAAATCGAGGTCATTTAGTACTTGTCCCTCGCATTGAACAAGTTTCCCACAAGAAACAAATGCATTATGAGGACAAATAATATTTGATAGAACATCAAGATTTGATTCTTCTGAAATAGTTTGCTCAAGTTTATTAAGAATGTCATTGCAGAGTAAAGGATCGTTAGAAAAATCAGCATCTATCAAGACTGTATCAGGTTTTTGATCATGAATAGGTTCATTCCTCAGATTTGCAAGGAATTTCGTCAGAAATAAGTGAGTCATTAGGAAAAAGCATATCTGGTACAATAATATGAGAATTCTGACAAATTGATTGATTAGAAACTGTTGTCTCACAAGGATTCTCAGTTTCATTTAACTCTGAACTGCTATATGATTGTACACTGTCTTTTGAAATCGTTGATGAAAATAAATGATCATTATAAATACTCAACTTCATAGAATCAGAATTATGAGAGGAACAGTAGTATTAAAAACTGACTGAATGTGTCCAATATCACCGCATTTAAAGCACTTAGAATTACGAAATTTACATGAATTAAAAGAGTGGAACCTGACACAGGATAAACATTGACCAAACTTGTGCCCATCTTCGTGAACTGCATCGCAACTCCTCAATGAATTATCTGCATAACCTTGAGTATGCACTGGGTTGGGATGACGTAGTAATGTAGTGGAGTTTTTTATGTCCTTGTGAATCATTTTACGAAATCTTCCTCCTTTACGACATTCAAAATTAGCATACTGAACATAGTCTAGCAGTAGTTCCTTGAGAGCTGTACAAGGAAGCGAAATGGGCTTTTCCGGTAAAGCCAGAGTTTTTAATAAGCCATATGCTTCTTTTCCGATGAATGTGAGAAAATGTGCTACAATATTAACATCCTCATCATCTTCCTTGGTCATAGCCCGAATTTCGAACCTTTCAAAGTAATCCACAAAACCATCAAAATCTGGATGTATATCCAACAATTCCATCACAGGCTCAATCGCGACGTCAATATGATAATCAGGAGTATTTGAATTATAGTATGAACTAAGAATCCCAGAAATAACGTAGTCGGATCAAGAATTACTAAATAACCACAAACGAATGTACTTTATTTAGAGATGGTGGAGAAGATTTGTAGCTCATGTGGATGATTTTGGTGGAGTTTTATTCTTTGAGCTTCTATTTGAAGTTTGTGCTGATGATGTCGTTCAGAAGAACGATGAAAGCTCCACGACCAAACCATCCAGCTCAGAGAATAAAACTCCACCAAAAACTTTATTTAGAATTCGAAATCAAGCATTCAACAAGTACAAACGTATCATTAGTTCATTCAAACACCACAGATCTCAGTTTTTGATTGTCTTTTCATTTTCATTACTCTCTGACCTTAAGTTTTCGTCAGTGAGCTTAGAATCTTTAATTTTTAAAATTTTCTTGTGGAGTGTAACTTTTGAATGACTTTCATTTTTTGATTCTGGTGACTGATTTAAAGAGATGAAAAATAACTACTGTATTGCAGTCTTCATGTACATTGGTTAACTCATTTATTTTACAATTAATAGAGAAACTTTAATCCAAATTACATAAATACATTCTTTAAATCTTACATAATTTTTATGATTTACTTTTGCACTTGCCAAATTTAAGTAGCTCTTCAGCTTTATAACAAATTACAATAAGTAATACCTTTAACATGGTTGAATTCTTGTGAAATGAACACTTAGGCCTTTTGAACTGAATCCATTTGAGTAAGCTTATTAATTTCTAAAGAAATACGAATTAAATTTAATTAAATAATCATGCTTGGATAATATGTATATGAATAATAATGGTGGACTAATGTCAGTCGAGGTATTGTAGTGACCGAATACTCAGGTGGGGAAAACCAGTATATTGTTTAATTCATAATTACAGAAGTTTTTTGATAAAGTGTCAAGACTATATATTGAATACTATATTTGTAAATATTCCATCAGTTATCCTTTATGATTCTTCCATTTCTTGATTCTTTCGTGCTTTCCTTTCTGTTTTCTTCAATGCAATCTTCTCAACTTTCATTTGACAGGCATTCAACTTTTAACTGGTGTTACATACTACTTATGTCAACAGACATAAGTAGCATACATCACAGTACTATTGAAAACTAGTAAATGTTAGACAGCCATTTCATCTTTTTATATAAATTTTTCAATAGTTCAGATTCATGAGTCATATTGTCAGGGGGTCAAAACTACTATGTTCAATCCTAGAGACTAATGCATTTTCTTTTGACCCCTGAGTTGGAATACAATAATCCTCACTTCCAACTTCGCACAGTTCATGATAAAAATATGAGTTCACAGAAAGATTACTTAGTCTAGTGATGGGTTCTTATCCCAAAAAAAACCACATGATTATATTAAATAACTGTACACCGCTTATTGGTCTTTAATGGTACATTAATTGATGTCAATAACTTGTAGAACTAATACATCCATCATCAAGAAGGTACAAGTATTTATAAATAGTTGTCTACGCACGATAGTCATCATCCATTGGCCGGTTAACATCAGCAACAGCCTTCTGTGGGAGAGAAAAAACCAGCTTCCAGCTTAAGAGGAAATTAGGAAAAGACAATAGAAATGGATAGAACATACGTCACGCAAATCACCAAATTGCATCACAAGGCAAGCCCTAACTTGGAATCCTGAAGGGAGGCGGATAATAGGAAGGCCAAATAACACATTACGTCGGGAAATAGAATCAGATATAAAAAGGATGAGCAACAACTGGAAAGAGCTGGAAAGGATTGCCCAGGACAGGGTTGGATAGTGAGTACTGGTGAGCGGCCTATGCTCCTCCACGAGGAGTAACAGGCGTAAGTAACTAAGTAATTGATATCAATCCATAAACAGTACCACCTACAACTGTATCTCAACTTCAGTAAAATTAACAGTTGCTTCATTGAATCAATAAAATAAACACCTTTTTTCATTCATTCTAAACTTTAAATCTATAAATATCGCAAATCGGATGTATTATATAACCCTATTTATTTCTACAAACCTGTTTTCTTTTTTCTTCAATAGATGATCAACTATAAATAAATTGTATGACTTATTACATAATCCAGCATAATTATACATCACGATATTTGCTAACGGATATTTCACTGCTCACAGTGTAATCGTCATGTAAATAATATCAAGTTCATATATCTATTTTCCGATACGTTTACATTCAATAGTCGTTTACAATTATTATTATTATTATTATTATTATTATTATTATTATTATTATTATTATTATTATTATATTTCAACAATATTAACTTTGAACATTCATCTTCTTCCTTTTACTATTGTGTCTAATATGGTCATTTGTATTGCTTCATTTCCAATTATTACTTCCTTTCTTTGACCTAATTGTTTGTTATTGCAAACCTTTTCTTGGTAGTTTTCTTTTTTGCTACGTATATACAGGTTGACAACTGGTTATTATTATTATTATTATTATTATTATTATTATTAAATGATTGTTTGTTTGCTATATTTTATAAATTACGTCTCTTGTTCACAATTGATTATGTTTATAGAACTTGTACAGCTGATACAATGGAGTTCACCTGCATACACATTAACTGATAATCCTTTAACGGACATACAGAAAGTTCCAAATGATATAATATATATTTATATGCCCACAAATGTATAAAATGTTTTGCATTTAGTATAATTTACTTTTTTTTATGTAGATATATGTTGTTTTAATTCCACTGTAAACTTTACACTTAACAATAGAACATAAACGAATAATTAGCATCAATCTTATATGGTTTTGTTTGTAATTTTCCATGTGGGGTAAAAGGTAATGCTTTATGTTTTTATCTAAATATTGTTTCTTTATGAACAGAAAATAAAATCCTGTTTACTTTTGGTTCATTCGTTTTACTTTAGAATTTATTGTCTTGATCTAGTTGGAATAAAGTAAGAGGATAGATTAGGTCCAAACTCATTTCTCATTATCATATGTGTCACTTCTTGTTCTTCTATCACATAAAGTGCAAAGGTTAAATGGTAAGTCATGCAACTTTTTAATTATGAGGGTAGTTGTCCCCTGTATATTCTCCAAGTAATTTAATGTTTACTTCCCGTAATCTAGTATGATGATTAGAAGTATTCGATTTGTTGTATTTAATAAGAATTCCCGGAACAGTACAATTTAAGCCAGATAGAACTAGGTGAACTCAAACGAACGTATTGTATTTTGAATTCGAAATAAGCGGGCAATCAAGTACAAATGAATGATCAGTTCGTACGAATGCCATACATTTCTAAATCTTCCGTCCAGAAATTTTATACTTATTCAGTAAATTAATATTTTTTAGTGTATTCAACCATAAGTTATTATTCATAGTCCAGAGTGTTAGCTGGACTTTAAAAAGTATGTTTTATACGGAAAGTGATAGAGACGTAATTATGCACTCCTGTAACTTTCTCTTAAACATAAGTCCAATATGTTATATATAATGATAATGTATTTCTGCATGAGCAGGTACACTCCATTTTTACAGGCATGATCCACAAATTACAACACTTGTTGGCTTGTAGAACTATAGTCTACTATGATATTAGTACTGCTCTAATGATAGATACAATCCTAAAATTGTAGATTTGTCATGATATAACTGCTTAATCTATAAGATCTTACGTGGAAGTCACACCATCGACTACACCAACTCACTGTATCGTATCAACTACCATTACATGATGTAGAACAAGGTTAGGCTAGAGAAGGAACAATATATTTGGTATAAATAGAAGATATAAAGTAACATTCAGAGGAACCGCGCCTGCATGGCCGAGCCACGCCATCCGATCAACTTCAATTTCTTCAGTTCATTGTTCGCGCCTTCTCCATCGTTAGGTATTTCTTCGCGTTAAATATTGAATACCTATTTTCCGAGTAATCTCGTATTCAGCTTTGAGGATTGTGTGGTTATGGTCCAATGCCACTACAGGCTCACAACATGCTTCCTAGTTTATTAAATTTATAGTTACTATAAAGTAGACTCGTAGAGTGCTTGCTGTAAACTATGACCTTGAGGAGACACGTACGTGAAGTTTGTTCCAGACGTCAGGAGCTCCATAGCTGTACCCTCAGAGCAAGATCTTGAAGTAAAAAAAGGGAAACAGAAGAGCAGCAAGGCATAGGATAGTTGTTTACCAAAATAGGTGAGAAAGTATAGAAGTATATGAGTTGTAAATAAGGTGACGAGTGGAGAAATAATATTACTTGCTAATCAACATAGTGTACAGAAAAGTAAAAAGTTAATAAGGAATAAACAGGAGGAAACTCATATTAACTTGATGCTGACGTTATTTTGTGTTGTCATAACCAGTTGATGGGTAACAGGCCTCATATATCCAAAACCACTAATAGTTTTATAGATGACTTTTAAGTCATCGACATAGAGGTAGGTCTTACCTGTGCCAAAGCACTTGAATATATTGTTGATGTACATTATAAAGAGCAATGGACCCAAGACACTACCCTGCACAACACCACTGGTTATTGGTCTAAGTGTAGATGTTGTAGAGTCAATCTTAGTTATTTGGTATCTGTTCATAAGAAAAGATTTGATTCATTGCAAAAGGGGATTCATAATTTAAACTGACTTAAGTCTATTGATAAGAAGGTTATGAGGTACTATATCAAAGGCCTTCTTAAGATCGAAATATAGTATAACCACTAGCTTCTTCTGGTCTGACCCAACTGTTGCTTCTACCTTGACGTGCCTATCGTGATAAACCAAACAGGCTATACTGGATAGGACAATCGTTCCTCAAGGTCCTACCATGCCAAACAGGTCGGTTGAGGAACGGTAGGACTAGACGCAGCAGACCCAAGGTCTGAGGGCGGAGTTGTACTGCTGATTTGAACAGATGTCTGGCGGCATTAAGATGTGTTTTCCTTAGACAACCAGCGCAGCAGAGATGCTATCTTCCCACAATGAGGGGTGGGGTTTGAACAGGTCGACCATAAAAATCCACACCTCACCTTATCCCATGGATATCCGTATCCGGTGGTAAGGTCTCAACAAATACGGAGCTAACGTGGGAATTACTCACAAAAAGGTTGTGTAAGATCAACTTCAAGCAGTTGTCCCTTGGGCACTGTGGTCACGCTCTCAGGTCATTAAAACCACCTTTTATCTAATTTCCTTTTCAAGTACCTCCAGAAGAACCCTTCCATTGTGAGGACAATCGCGAAGTGATACCTGCCCTCATACTTCTAACAACACTCAAGATCACTGTATTCATAATCATAATTTCTTATTAATCGGCCTTCAATAAGGTGTTGAAACCTTTGTGTATCGTAATACATAGCTGAGGCATGCTGATCAAAAATGAAGAACTTAATTTCAGTATCCTGCAACCTCCACTGGGGGATTGTTAAGACCTTCGAATCACTTCTGTGCTAATGGCGTCTATAGATATCTCACTAAGTGTTTCCGTGGGGATACAATTGACGTTGGACGCCAACCATTACTACTCTTTTAAAAGCATCAAACGAAACGAAGATCACTATTGGCTATGTTAAGTCCAGATCATTCATAAACCCATCATATGAACCAGCTATTAACACTTCAGGAGTTATTTGTATTGCCTTCGATAATAAAGGCGGTCTTGTATATATGATATGATCTGTAACCTTGTTACTCACGAACATGAACTACGGACTTCGAAATACTTCGCGAGTATTTGTTAAAAATACAAATAGTAGGAAGCCTATTTGAATATTTGAACTACCTGTTCTTGTCATCTAGATATTTCAACAAGTTATCTGCCATTTTTGTTTTAATACATCATTGTGTCTATTGGTCTCATAACCTACTCAGGCGCGTTTGTAAAAAGTTCACGACTTTTCGCAGTACAACATACAAAAGAGCACAATCGAAGACATTGTGGTTGCTGACAATATGTATAAAAAAGAATGCACATTATTCAGATGTTGATCTCTAAACTAATAACATCTAACTGGCGACCACTCAATATTTATCGAAAGGGTCGGTCAAGAAATAAAAGAGATAACTTGTTGAAATACTTTGTGCTGAGAATTTTATTTTGTGCTAAAAATATAATATTGAATAAAGCCACTTATTATAATAATTAACCGTACGTTTAACTCTATGTAGCCCTAACTTGAAAGCAGAAAGTAATTTTCCAGAAACAGATGACTTGCCGTTACCATTTACCAACCTTCTCTTGTGTCAGTAGACGAACATGTAGCGTAGTTCTATCAAATATTTTTAACTGATAGACACTTTGAAGTCTGAAGCAACAAAAATCCAGCGGATGGTTCCGATAAACCCATATACAAGTAAGGAAACTTCTGAATGCATGTATCAAACTGTTTACAACTTACAGCTGAAGTGTTGGAGCACTTGATATTCATTCCATGATAGCGAGCTTGAACTAACGAAGCTCCTCTGCCCATTTTCCTAAAATCTTCGCATTGTGTTTTAGTAAAAACCCAGACTAAAACAGGATGAGAACTATTGCCAGTAACAATACTGCTTATTATTAATAATAACTTACAGATCTTCTGTAAGTTATTCTATGACAAAAGACTGTGGCCGGTGATTTTCGGAAGTAGTATCTGAGCTTTCACAAAATTAACAGCTTCCTTGAGCTCATAAATTGAAGAATAATGTAGAGAAGCGTATTCTAAGGTTCGAAGTTGGTTTCTCGTGCCTATACAGTAAACATGCAAACATTCTGAAGATTGTTATGGTTTGTCTGAATGACGTTAATTTATGCTCCATTGTCGGTGAGTTTAAAAAGGCCACAACTATTCGGAGCTTGACAACATCTTAATCAGTAACACTTCTTATGATCGAAACGTGCCAACTCGTTGAAATCAGAAGTCAGAAGCGAAAACGTACGAAGATATATTTGTTAGAATATCGATATGTCGAGAAGTGACCAAGCTAAGCTGGCCAGCGGTTGTTGGAGTAATGGAGCACAGCGTACCCACTCGTGATCTGGTACGGATGCATGACCGAGTGTCGTTAGTTAGGTGAGTCCATTAAAACTAATAATAATTTATTTTCAAATAACAGTCTATTACATGAGATGCATGCTAGTTTACCGACGTCAAATGTCAAAGACTCAGGGAGCCATTGGTTTGGGGATTTATTTACCACCATATCTATCTACCTATCTATAACAGAAAACTGAATCCTCTGGCATTGGTTGCCATCAATGCGTACTTTTGGAGGCGTCATTTTGAGGATTGATTGAAGTGGTAGTAAATTTGGGTCCGAAAACTGAAGTGTCTTTGTCTTCTTTGGAACAACTATAAATCTTTGGCACTCACAGCAACTAGATTTCTCCGTACCTTGTTGTTGGGACAGTAGATCTTCCAATTAGTATCCCTTCTTTAATAGCTATAGTTTACATTTGTTATTTTGAAGGCCGAGAAGATAATTTGGTGCGTCACAAGAGTCTTTGATTTGGTTTCGAATCGCTTATGGCACTTACCCGGTGGATTAAACATCTATCCTCAGATTTCTGTTAACTTTCAGAGATCGATCAAAGAATGAAAGCGGTTCATTACCAATGCTATTTCAAAAGGAAACAAAAAATACTCGAGACTTCTGTGAAAATCATGTATGGGCTGGTACGATGTCAAGCCCACATAGGTTATCCTAGCTTCCGGAGAGATCAATTGATTCATTATCCTCGAGTCACATTTTGATCTTGGGTATTATTCGTTTATTAACCTTCACTGTTTATATGTAGGCGAACGTGTGTGCATTTCTTATCTTACCGATCACATGCCTGTAATTTATTTTTGTTCGATTATAAATAATAATTCATGTCTAGCCTGTATGCCTCCTCCAATCCATATTGCTTTTTTTCCTCCGCTCCCTCCG